CCGGATCTCAGTCATGCATGGATGGATTTTGTTCAGATTTAGCACAATGTGTTGTACATATGCAGGTGCATTTCGGTCATGATCTGCTTTGAATGTATATGTCACTCAAATATGAACGGAACGGGGACCTGTCATTGACAATGACTTGTTTTGGTAAATATTTTTGTCATATTTGGTAAAAAGTGATATTTTCGACTTCTTGTTAAAAACCAAAAGTTCAATTGCTTTGATATTACATATATAGATACTACATGTAGACCTTTCTCAGATTTGTTCATTTCGTGATGATATCTTCAATTTTCGTGAATATTTTGGTCATTTTTTTGGTCTGATTGCTTTGATACTATACATATTGTTCATTTTCTGATGATGTCTTCAGTTCTTTAATTGAAATGTGCATTTCTAACAGCGGAGCTATCTCAGCCGATAGGCTGCTTGTTTAAGTATCGGTATATTTATAAACATGCTTACGCTGACTTCATTGTACTAACAAATATCCTATTGTTCAAATATCGTAATTTTCTGAATGCATCTTGGATGCACTTATATTTATTTTGTTCATTGAATTGCATTAAATTAAATAATTTTTTATTTTTTTAGTCAAATCATGCAGTTTAGATTAGAAGTGATGTCAGTAAAACCGCAGATTGAAGCGATGATAATGGAATTAAAAAGTGCTATTTCACAGTTGTTGAGTGCCCAACAAAAAAGACAAAATGACATTTGGACACTTGTACGAGTTGCAGTAAGTTTAATTTTATTTTATTTGTAGGTTAGACTATGATGCATTCTGTTCAACTGAGAGCAATGAGAGTAATTCTTTTTTCTCTTTTTTGGAAGTGAATAAATTGAAATCTATTATAAATTATTTTCTTTTTAATTCAAAAGAAAATTACATTATTACTTTTGAAGACACAACTGTTAGTTTTGCCATAGAGGGCATACTTTAGGTTTAAATTCTAATACAAAGGTTTGATATGTTGTGACTTTGTTGATGTGTGAACTTTTTAAAAGCAGTGCAAATTTTGCTGTGTGTAAAGTTCCATCAGATAAATATCTAAAAGAAAAGAAAAATCTGGGGGTACCCAAACACATTTCCATGGAGGCAATGACTTTGTGACATTGTTGGCCATTTTAGATTGAAATTAGTTCAGATATCCAAAGTTTCTTCTTCACAATTTAAAATAGTCAATCACAAAGAATAATTGAACAAAGTTTCAGGAAATTCCAGAAGCATCCTTCAAGCTAAAAATCTGATTTCTTTTGACTTTAAGAAGTCAATACAACGGACCTACTGTAACAGTGAAGTGTGAATGTAATTTGATAATTAAGCTAATCTAAAGCTGGCTTAAAACTAGCTTAATAATTTACAATCACTGGATATCAAAATTGTAATCCGCCGAAATATGTCTACCATTAATAACATAAACACTACAAAGAAAAAAATGAAACTATTGCTGACAATGATGCTTTAGAGTTAAGTTGTACTGTACTCTAATAATAGGAAGGCATGCTGTGATTTAAATATAGAAAATATATTGTATGCAAGTTTGTGGCAGTGTGTCCTCTTTCCCTTATTAAATATCCAAAATCAACACTTCAATAAATGTCTTACTGTATAGGGTTTGAAAATGCAGACTCCTCCACACCAAGGCCATCCACGAGCTGAATTAACACCTGGATTGAAAAATTCTCCTTTTTCAACTGTATCACCATTACGTACACCGGCTCCATCGCTACCAGGTTCTAGTATGGTATTGTCTTCACTCATGGCTGAAAATGATAATGAAGCATCCATGCTGGCTTTAAGTGAGAATGCAGAAACCAGAAATAGGTAATGATTAATAGCAATATCTTTGAAAACATCAAACAAGATTCCGAAAACTTATCCATCAATATTTCTTAGCTAGTGAAATGGAGCAAATGACAACGTGCATGAGGATACCAATTATTCCAACCCCTAATTGTGTTTACTTTGCTGTGATTTTCTGTGAGTTGTTATGAAACCCAAGAAAGTTTATTGCCTGAACAAAACTTTTGCTAAATTATTTCTGTTCTAAATATGTAAAAGTAGAATTTGTGCATGGGTCATCACCCTGATGTTTTATAACATAATACAAATGTACAAAGAATTAGTGTGCCAGACTGTTATAATATGAAGTTTAATGCAGTGGGATCTGTTTCTTTATCTTACAGGTTTAGCAGTGAATTGAACTCCCTGAAGTCTGAATCTGATAATGCACTGAAACAGACCAAAACCATGGATTGGACATTTCTTGAAGGACAGGATCACAAAATTTGAACTTTATCAATCATAAAAAAATAACTATGTTTAATTGTGCTATAAATATCAGTCAATGGGATAAAATTTGTAATGCTTGCGTGCATATTGCTGATATTATTATTGTTGATGAAATCATGGATACATCATGTGATGTAAAAACCGAACTTTATCTGTTATGTTAATGTATGCATAATAGTTACATGGTGCTAATGATATTTTCTTGTTTAGCGCCTACCCATGATTCAATGTGATTGTCAGAGGAACACCATGTGTAATCAGCAAGATGACAATGGTTGAGAGATCACTACTTATATTTCGCTGTGTGTCACAGCATGTGAGATGCTTATGAATGAATATCATATATACCGCAATATCTATCAATTTGTAAACTTTTAACACCACTCCTGTCCTGCTCTATTACATGCTATTTTACTAATACAGCACAAGTATATGAAATTAGTGTGCAACAAGACAGCCAGATATTTTCGCTAAGAGCTCAAAAATCCTTTTACCATAGGATATTAGCATTATTCTTAGACATTCAATGTTAATCATCAAAATTACAGTAGCAGTGTACAATGTGTTATCACAGTTTAAGTCATGAATACATGTACAGGTAATACGTGTTATGTTAGTATTCAAAAGTCAGGATTATTTACAACCACTATTTCTAAAGAATTTGAGCAGCAGCATAAGAAGACAGTCATTCTCCACGATCTTGTGCCCATTCAGACATGTTATTTTGAAACTGACATAGTGTGGAAACCAGTGACAAGTTTTAGAGACTTGTAAATAAGTCAGTATCAGATACCAATGTTTCAACATGTCCAGTGTATGATTTGGGATTATGTTGATGCATTTAATCTTATGTACAGTTATACATTGAATTGTGTTATATATTGTTGTTATATATATTATGTATATACATTGTTGTCAACGCTAGTATTGAGATTTCACTCATTAATTTAATGTCTCTGTCAATGTTATCTATATATATATATATATATATAGCAGTAATTTGAAAACGTAATGTATATGTTCTGGATCAATGTGACAATCGCTGTATTGATCTACTTTGTTCATGAACAGATAGGGGCTACTAGGAATAAATCAAGATAACGCTTTTATATATTTACAACGAACTGCATGTAAACAACACTATGCAGATAACGGGGATCTAAATGTCCTCATGTAACTGTACATGGAATTACCATCCATTTTTGTAGTGGTTAAACTTTTTACCACCAGTTTCCCGTTTTAATTGCAAATTCACAAAATAGTCCGCTTTATAGTCTGCACTTTCCTTCAAAGGTTTGAGAAAAAATAGCCAAATTTGTTGAGTAAAAACTGAAAATTGACTCAAATTTTGTCTGCTGGCTCTAAAATCATGGTTCATTTCCTGAAATGTTGGAGAATATTTAAGAAAAAATGTACAGAAAAATTTGGGCGAGAAATTTTGGTGGTGAAAAGGTTGAGAGAACATAATTCTTGTAGCAATATATTGGACAATCTAATTTAAATATATTGTCTCGGCTTTGCTTTGATCAAATGATGTAATACATCTTTTATGCCATCTTCGCTAGCCAAGGTCTAAGTTTATTTGGCCAAGAGGCCTATAGGTCGAAGACATGGGACCGTGCGATTCAGACGATGCTTTTATGCATACCTAACAAATGTTGTATTGTATGTTAGGAATAAAAAACGAGTGTGTCAACAAACAGTGGCTTTATAATGTTGCTGGGAAATTCTTGTGAAAAATGAAATGCATGCCTAATAAATATAACAACATTGGCATTATGGTAAAATAAAAACTGTATTATACACAGTCAAAATGTTATCCTGTATGTTCATTTCGATAGAGAGCTGGGGAGGGGGTACTTCCTTGTGGGGGCTATATCACTGTGCCTCCAAACATAAGTTATATCGTTTTGGCCATGGGTTGCTGGACAGGATTCTTTTCAGCACTGCTGCCATCAAAGTAGACAGAGTGGAACTGTTCATATAGGTGATTATTTGTTGTCTGTCTCCAAACATTTGTCAACAATTCCATTACTAAATTCTTAATGAAAACTACTTGGGTAGACCCTTGTCAGATTTGTTTATTTTGTGGCAATATCTACAATTCTCAATTTTTAGAAAATATTTTCATTTTTGGTAACAAAAATACTATTTTCGACCTATTTGAAACTACTAGCTCAATTGCTTTGATACATGTATGTAGGTACCATGGGTGGACCTCTGTCAGATATGTTCGTTTTGTGAAGACATTTTCAATTCTTTAATTTTAATGAATAATGTCATTTCTTGTTAAAATGTGCCAGACCAATTGCTTTGATACTTGGTATGTAGGTACTAAGGGCGGACTACTGTAAGATTTGGTAATTTTGTGACGATATTTTCATTCTCTATTTTTAGCCAATATTGTTGTCATGTTGGGAAAAAAATACTATTTTCGAGTTCTTAAAAACTACCATCTTGATTGCTTTGATACTTTGTATCTAGGGTTCATGGGTTGACCACCAAGAGATTTGTAATAGGATCATAACAATTGTAAGTATCATGACAACTAAACTACCATGAATGTGATATAATGGCATTGTGGGAACACTATTAACCATGGCAAACAGTTATCTTATTGTACTGAGGACACTCTACAAAGGCATCAGAGTTATTTCAACCAGTACCGGTAGGTCTCTTGTTTATGTTACTTGTATACAGTTTTGGTTTAATTATGGTGGTAACATAGTTAGAGGATAAATCCTTAGGTAGAGAGAAGACTCGAAGCTCATTAATTACACAAGTTTCACCAAATGATGTAGACACTAAAATCAGATATTGGTCATCACTGGTCTTCCCGACACCTTGAACTGCTCTCCACTGTTGTAGAGAATAACTTTTCAAGGCAACTGATATATCCTCTTTTTAACATTCTGACTGCGTGCATGAGGGGTCTCTTTCATCTCCAAGTTTGACACTGTTCAGACCCTGGATCCAGGGAACTGCACAGTAAGTTGTTGCACTCTCTACCAATAGGTGATTTTCCGTACAACTGCGAGATCTCGCGAGATGCATGAAAGACGAACGTCTGGTGCAAAAATCGAACGATTTGATTTTGAACTCGAATTTCTTTATTTCGTAGCTCACATCGACCGGCCGATCTTTGACAGAGGAATATTGCATTCGAATATCTTCTTTTAATCGAAATTGTCTATCATCAAATGTGTACAGCACATTATTGACATGGAAATGTCCCCCAAAATACTTTCGCGTTTGTCGAATCTCACGCGATGTTTGACGCGACTACGAAGCATTGACGCTGCAGTTCGGCGTCTTCTACACCGATCTGACGCATATCGCGCAAGGTGAACAGGAGCCGAAAATGAAAGAAAAATAAAATTTTATTTCAGCGCAATTTCTCGCGCCCGCCGACTTGTGTAAAAAATTGCTAAAAAAAATATTTTTATCTTCATTTTTTTTCGCCCGTCGCATAACAAATCAGGATCAAAATACCGAAGTCTCACGCAGATGAGAAACAAGGTTATACATGGAATAAAAAATTATTTCATTTCTTCTCTCCGATCAATGATCTCACTTGCAATTCTTTGAGAATCACACAAATCTAATGGGAAAAAAAGAATTAATTTTGTTTTTTTTCCGCCCTCCTCAAAAAAAGTGCCTTATAAAACTCGAGAAACAAGGAATAAAAAAAGTCTGGCCTAACAGATGGTAAATTCAAATTCTTGTAACGTCTTAAATTCATTTTTTGGAGGTATCATTAGTGATATCTTTAATATATGTAAATGTAGTTTTATTATCCAGTGCCTTATGCACCATCAAACAGTTGGGTAAAAGCATTACCACAGCTAGCAGTTATCTATTTGGTGTTGTGGTCGTTCGTTATTTAGAATACTATCTTAAAATGGTATTTTCACAGACTGTAGATCAGCGTAATAGCGACCTTGTATAATAGGTCATTTTCTGAGAAATCTAATATACGACGTTTGACATAGGATTTGGGGTGCGACGAACATATATGACGTAATGTTGTATTTATGGATATAGCAATCGACGTGCTTGTATTTGTTGCCATGACAACCGCAAACGGCTTACTTCAGTGGCGGATCCAGTATTGGGGGGGGGGGGGGTCCAAGCTTCGCTTAAGATATACGGAGCGTAAATCGCAGAGAAGCTATGCGTAATCCAGATCATATGAATCGTCATGCGTTTAGAAGGGGCCATGGCTCCCATGCCCCCCCCCCCTCTGGATCCGCCACTGGCTTACTTGCACCCAATTTTGTTCAGTCTCGCTTTGACATTTGAGAAAGTGGCGAATAAACAGCCCTATCGCTAGAGGGCGCATGCGGTATATTGAACTGCTGTGTGTTTAACATTACATTTACAGGCATCGAAAACGTCACTATGTTTTATATATTGTGTTTTAATTCCTATACGTGAAATGAATACAATGTAAGCTCATTTTCAGTGTAAACATGATCTCTATTGATTGATCTTTTTAATTCGGTTTTTGAAAACCTTTATTTTCAGTGGCATATAAATAGGATCCCTATAAGAAACATTGTCTCATTTGTAATTGGATGAACCAGCTGTGGTATTGACATTTCAACCATTGTCAATGATAAAAACCTCCATAATATCAGTTACTACAACAGTGCATTGAACAGATCTTACTGTCAAAAACAACACGTTGCTAACAGATAAACGATGTTGCCACTCTCGGCAGGCCTTTCGCCACAAGACATGGCATGTCGTGTATATTAGTTTCTTGCATTATATCAATAATTTAAAAGAAGCGTATAGAACTTTCATAACCATATGCGATCCAATTCCACGTGACCAATGACGTCATAGCACGCCATGGAAGGTTTGACGGAGGTTACCGCCCTCATATTAAAAAACGTGGATGTTATGTGCATGCTCAGTAATCATTAAAAACGCCCTAAATGCCGCTACCAAGATTTTTGCCGGTCGGTGTACCGTAGAGATCGCCAGTCGATACTTCCGCTGTACTTTTGTCAGAAGCACAAGACCATCCTACTGTAATTCGCTGTACACTGTTACAGCTCACATACACGAGTACTTTTTGGATACAGTAAAATATACAACCTATACAACCTTCTGCACTTGACAAGAAGGATAGCAACGCTTACAATGTGTTGATGAAGTAGTAATACAGTACACTTTATTTAACAAATGAGTGAAATTTATAAAACAATCGGTTGCATATTTAGTAAAGTAGTGTAGATTAAATAATATGCGAGTAAAGCTGAATTGCGTTTGATTATATTTGACAATAAAGTCACCAGAAATCAATCAAACAAATATTGTAGAATGGGTCTGTTTAACTAGAATCTTATTTTAGCTAATCTGTATTTTCGCTAAGTCAAGATGTCGCTAATTTAAAGCGGGGGAGTCGTCACCTGCTCATGCGTCAGATGGCCATAGCGTGTCATTGTTTACAAACAAGCTTCTATTCATGAGCCTTTGCGTTTTAGCGTGTGTTGTTCCCGCGCGTGCGCAGGTGACGACCCTCCCGCTTTAAAACAAAGTCACGGTTTATTCTTTCAATGAGATTGTAGACACTAGTTAATTAAGATTCTGTTAATTTAGACATTGAGTCAAATTCGCTGCAATTGCACATGCAGTTCGTTAATTTGCGTTGATCTATACCTTATATTACAAACAACAGGCTGTACACAGCTGTTCTAGCAACACGCATATACAAATTACGCAAATTAATATGCACACGTCAGCAACACTAAATAGAAATACTAAAAACAAAAATTATGCTAATTGTTATGCACAGATAACATGAAACCAATGATAAATTAGTTTTAATATTGTTTAAATTGAAGCATATATTTTTCTATGAAAGCAGCAGCCCGATCGGTCTCGTGTGGTGTAATGCCTTATAAGGTGTGACGTCATTTACAACCTGTCAATCAAATACAAATATATGCAAATTATTCCACACAGAATACCCAAATTTGCAATAGTAGGGTACGTCATTACGGTTTTTAGGGATTGGTCATTGAAAAATCGGGAGGATTTGAAAAAAAAACATATCAGCACAGTGAAAATTGACAGACAAAAAAACTATATTCATATAAAATACTATTTTTTTAAAGCAATTTCATACTTCGAACAGATATAGCTCAGCATTAAATGAACAAATAATTTGCACAGTTTTACTACCATCCTAGAGTTTTTAAGGATTTAATAATTCAAATACAGGGATAGAAAGAGACTACACATATTTATTCTGCCTATTTTAATACCAACTAATAATTTGTATCCAAATATATGTATAACAGATTGCAAATAAATCTGTCTAAGCATTTTCGATCACGTATTTAGATTCACAGCAGTTAGTTTAAAAAACGCCATTTACAAACTGGTAACCGAATCAAATATGAATGTTCACGTGGTTAGATTTTAATAAAAAAAAACGACTTACATTTCGCATGTTTTGTCAGGAATGATGAAAAATTGGCACTTTTGTATTGTAGTATTGAAACTGTGCATACTTTTAAAAATCTGCCAACCTCTACATTTCTCGTCAATATATTTACTATTCTTCGCACGGCATAGAATTATTTAAGGTTTGTGAACACAGTAATAGACGGTAAGTGTTTCCTCAAACATAAACATAAGTGACAATTATTTTTTTTTTTAGTATTATCTTTTTTTTTTTGAACTATCAAATATTGGACATTTCTTAAGTTTAGATTCTGAGGTTTGTACTGCGCTATATTCAGCACCGTATAACAAATTACATATTTGTAGTATTTTAATGATACGTTCATGTTGGAAAATACATTAACACTGTCAAAATTAATATTAATAACATGCATAATCGTTTAACTTCCAAATGTTCACAGTATCAACAAATTATCCTGCTAGTCTACCAACCTGTAGGTATGCCTCAAGTTCGTCCAGTACATCAAATCGTATAGTTATTTAGAACTGATCAAGGGGAGTTATTGCATTGAAAAGGTGATATGATGATTAACAGGTGTTTTGTACTAGTGTGCAATTATTAATGCATTTTCGGCTAAATCTAATTTAGTTGTTAATTATTAAATATTTGCAGCAACCGTATATTTGCTACTAATTACTTATATTATTAATCATTTACGAGTTTATGCTTTTCAGTCATTGTCGGCTCGGTTATACGTTCAATATTCACGCACTCTTCATCGCTACTCTGTTGTTTGCACGGTCTTGAGACCGTAAAAAAACTCGACATTATCGCCACCACAACAGAACTAACAACAATCATAGTAGCCCCGATAATCTCCAATACATGAATATTCTTGTTTAGCACGAAATGATCAAATATGTACATTATAACGACATCTATATTTGCGAGTAAGACTATAGTTATGGCGCCTTCCATCTGTACGCCTCGATATAACAGACACACCTCCAAGATATCAAAGGAGACAACAGCGATCAAGTACCCGGCTGTCTCTGCCGATAGCTGCCAGTTTGACGTGCCAACTAAGAACATCATTAAACAACTCAGGAGTGAGTTTATTGTCCAGTGGTAGAAGGTGACGACAAAGATGTTGGTGTCTTTCACTTTTCTGATCAACACCGGTGAGAGTGAGTAGCAAACGGCTGATGTTATTGTCAACCCGTATCCAACTAACATGTTGCTTGGGCCTCCTGAGCGTGAATCGAATATAAAAGATGGACATGTTATAAGAAGAATCCCGCATATATTTAGAATCGAACACACACCATCAGTGACTCGCAATGATTCCTTCAGGATCACACAGGACAGCAGCGCAGTTAGGAAAGGCAGGCATCCGTTTATAATTGCGGTCGTGTCTCCTAAAGGCACCAATTGCACGGCAAAGACGTAAGCCGAATCCCCGAAAAACATGGTTCCAGCATTTACGAAGAGGATTATTGTGGTAAGTCTATCGTCGATTAACAGTTTCAGGCGACGCAGTTTGATAACCAAGAATGAAAACAAAGTGCCTATTAAAGCAGACACGAATATGATCTGAAACTCTGAGAGTTGTCGGGATGTTGCCAAAACTGTAAAGAGTCCAGAAGACGCATGACAAATACCCGATATAAGACCGAACACAACAGCCGCGACTGTTTTCGATTTGACACATTGTTCTTCCTTTTGTTGATTGAACAGTCCTAATGCGCCATAATTATCCACCGTCATTGCAGTTTCTAAATCTATATATTACCAATCATCAGTTTTAAATTAAACTACAGATGGTCTGAAGAAAGTATGTTAGAAGATCCTCATAGCCCAAGGAAAAACGAAGATGAGTGATCACAATAGTTTAAAACTGTTTTGGATTAATCCAATGACCCCGCTAGTCTTAAAAGCCTACTTAACTAACAATATAATAGATAATCAATGAGTGAACAATCGATTTTCTGAAATTGTTCTACCACATTTTGTTGTTATTAATATAAAGGTATAAATAAGCTTTGTCGCTGTAATCAACTCTCAACATTTCATATGTGACAATCATAGTGTTGCAGTACTTCATATTTAATGAGCTCGATTCCACGAAACACTTAATAGTTTTATTTTACTAATAGTTTATAATTAATAGACATCGGCTTCACAACGCAAATCGGGATACATCGCCGAACCTTTGAAGTATTGCCGGGTGAATTAGAGTCACGGTGAAGAATTTATCAAAAGAAATGTTCGCTCATTTCGAGTTGCATGTGTTTCGACGAGATCTCGATATACACACAATTTGAGTTTGATAATATTTAATTATACCACGTGTTTTACTTTTTGATGAACAAGGACCTATGATATATCGAGTGTTTGTAAATAAAAACCAACAAAACGCAGTGAACGTGTCCTTAAATCAATATACCAAAAAGACAACTGTTATTTAATAAACAATAGTTGTTAATCAATATCTTTGTATCTGAAACTGCGGAATGGGCCATATTTGACGATTAATCGTTAACACGTTTTTCTTTAGAAAAGAAATACGCCCAACTTCTTTTGTAATTTCATTTTGGGTATCGATTGGTATTCTTTTCAGTCAAGTTCTACCACTTGTACTGTCTAACTTATGAATACGGCTCTATAATTATTTTAATAATAGCTGAAAATTCATATCGTTCTTTGGCTGTCGATAGGGTTACACTAATTCCTGTGACATCTGGATAGCCTGCATAGCCGTGGGGTAAATGAGCTTTTTTATGCTAAAACCGGCAATACGATACACATGGTGTGCATATGGGTCATAACTGAACAACAAGAATAAATAAATCAAAGAAAAGACCATTTAATATAAGAATATCAATAATAAATTGAAAAATAGAAAAATAAATAACAAAATAGAAGGATAAATAAAAAATAAATCCAATACAGGAATAGAACTGGGAATAACAATAAATAAAACATCACTGATATAGAATACATCTAAAGCAACCAGTTTATTTAAATGCGTTATTCCTAAAAGTTGACACGGCAGTTACTAAGCATTTTAACAAGTCATGACATGACATAGTCCCCGTTTGTTCAGTAGTAAACAAAATTGAAATGAGTCAGCCATCGTCAATCCGAACAGGAAAAAAATATGATATATAAATCACGCCCTCTAGGAACGGGCGCTACTGTTTCGTCAAAATGACGTATATGATTGAAATTCTATCAGACTTTTCAGCTTGAAGGGCACAGTTGTCGGACAGGGTTCTCCCAGATATTGTGTACGTCGCATGGGACTCACATCAAATGCGTCGCGACAATTAGTGGCGTTGTGTTCCTGGACCATTGCTTCCCATTGACAGGTCTGATAATACAGAGATATAGTACAGTACATATATAAATGTAGCATAATTGCAAACAGATGTTATACATGTCACTTTCATTTGTACTTTTACATTCTTACTAAATGTGGAATGTCATACAAGTGGTTGTTGAACTGGGGTGAGTGATAGTGTTTCCATGACAATACGAATCCTAGTTATACTTTCAGGTTTTTTTTTTGATTGCACAGCTGCCTTTTATCCCAGTATTTCAGGAAAGTTTACATTTAAGATTGATCAATACAGTTTCATGATTTTGTTTTATTCTGTGAATAGACTGTTTGCTATGCAAAGGTAATATGTGAAGAAGTTGTTTTTAATACGCCGTTGCCTTTTGATTGTACTCTCTATTTTACATGAACTCCCTGGATTGTATCTCGTCAGGGCATATACTATTCTGTATTCCATTTTCATACATCCGGGGATTTGACCGCTTAATTTACGGTAAATGCGTTAATTATTCACCAGTCTCCAACTTCGCTATTTTCACTGATGGATGAAAACCGCTAAATTAAATCCACGTGAACATGTAAAACAACAAAACTTATTGTTTTCCTGTCATGTTTGTGAACTAAAATCCCAGAAAAAATGGCTCAAAATATCAAAATAGTGACATTAACTTTAATAAAAGTAAACGGCTTTACATTAAAGCGCGGTAGTCGTCGCGCTGCGCATGTGCCACATTTTAGTTGATAAACATTGATTTTCCCACAATCCAATGCGCTCTTCAAATGGAAATCACAAGTATGAGGTTTGACTTGGGCACGACTTGCACTGATTACCGCCGGTGACTCGTTCGATACCTTCCAATAACATGAAAATTACTTAATTAAAGCTTAGAAACGTCTTCAGTTCGTACTCGTTGATCTGCGCAACAGTCAGAGTCGCCATCTTTGTTTATATGAGACCCATATATCTCGCACATGCGCAGCGCGACGACTACCGCGCTTTAAATACAAATATGACCATTCTGAACACGCAGACGACTGCTAAGATATTACATACAAGACAATATATAGGTGAAACTTCCGTCTCAAATTCACGGTGAAATATGCATGCACAAGCATTGAAGGTATATGATGTTTTGAAAATATAAAACACCGTATCAAACACATTCACAATTACATTTTACACTTTTATATTATATTATAATATTTTTGATAATTTGTGTTTACGAAACAAAATTGGAAATTGCGTACGAACTACGACATTCAATATGGAAAATTCTTTATACGCTTAAAAAAATAATATCTTTGTACAAATTACGGACGAATAAAATAGCTGATTACATTTCACGCATTCCCCATGTCTGCGAATTTACAATTATTATTTATTTAAGTTACATTATTAAGAAAATAAAAACTCACGAAAATACCCCTTGCCGACCCTCTAGGTATTATACCTTTATAATCTAACCAAGTTTATAATATTTACGGGTTTCGGATTATGTTTTTAACGCTAATCCATTGATATCGTCGTGGACATTCGTTACATACAGAGTATATATCCCAATTCTGGGGACAACCAGTCAGCTTTGCGATGTCCCTTCCTAATGTTATAACCAGGTAATTTGGATTAATAAAGGGCGCCGCGTTCTGCTGAATATAGAACTCGTGGCGACGTACACAACGCATGTAAAATACATTGTTTATTTACATGAAATTCGAACACGTCGAGCGTGTATAATGTGATAAGACGGGAATTCGATCTAGTGCCACCAACAATTATCGTCCAAATATTCAACGGAATACTATATAAAACATCTTTGAAAAAATACAAAAAAAATGCCGTGGTCATTAGGTTTCATAGCGCATATTGCATTGATAGTAACATAAATATCAAGTTAATCTTCTTATTGGTTGATTTTTATTTTTATTGTTATTTCAATTTTATATTAGTGATCCTGCACAAGGCTAATGTCACATAAAATGCAATGTGAAAACTAACAGTCGCCGCCATTTCGTTGATTTGGTCACGTGGTGGTGACATGAACATTATGACGTACGGTGCACAATATTATGGTAAATGACAAATAAAATCATTAGCGAGAGACCGTCAGAGAGAGGCTCACGCATTTGACATTTCACCCAGGGCCCCTGGTGATTTTTCATTTTGTACGGTAATTCCCGAGGTTCGTTTGAATAAAAATGAATTTCAATAGATGGCGCCCTCTGGAGAACTCGTCGCATACCCAAGATAATCTTTTTTCACTTGCAAGTGATTTAACATCGGTTTATAGCGTATACACTTTGCTTTCAGTGTCCATATTACGGCGGAATTTGGAAGTTATATTACTTTTAAGTATCAAATACTGATTCACTATACATGTAATATCTTTTCCCTCGGTTCGATAGTATAGAGGGAAAATACTGTCTTCAATGTTACGGTGACAGTAATTGAGATGGGTGGGGCAATCAGATAGGGAATAGCGGGAAGCAGTAGGAAGTTAGTCAGTCTAGTCAGCAACTCAGCAGCTCACAGACGTTCAAGTTCAATTACATCAAATATTAATTTTAAAAGTTCATTTAGCTTTGCCCTTATGTGATAACAGTGTAGTCCGACACTGTCCCTGTACTATGTGCTGCATTGCTTTCGGACACAGGTTTCCAGAGAATTTCCCGCAATATAAAGTATAGGGTTTTTATCTCTGGTTTTTCCTGGGTGGCGGACATAGGATAACGAGGAGATCACAACAAGTAACAGCCCACCCTGGTATAACGTGTCATGTAATAATTTCTTTTTCTATCCACGTCTGTAAATAAAGCTGCCGCATCTCTGGCTCATCCATCTAAAGCTGCCGCATCTCTGGCTCATCCATCATTATTGAATGAATGAAGTGTAATGGAATTTATTCAATGGTATAAGAGTATAGTGAAGACCTAGTAGTATATAAGACACATGATTCTACCGTCCTGTGAGCTTTGTTGACGCCTTCTGCGGTGAAAACAGAAACCTAACCCAGTCTTTGCTATCTTACTTTGGAAGTCACGATGTGAAATGAATTAGTCGTTCATCAATCACAGAAACCTGGTTTCTATTCATGAATTTCACCAACACAACTGTTTTCTCCGATATGAGTTTACAGTCATTTTATCGATATATATATTTAGGCACAAATACTTGATTTGTGTTCATATGTGATTTCAGGTCACGTTTTCCCCAAGTACAACGATAACGCTGACAATTTCGACCGATGATATTCAGGTTGTTTAACATGGAGAAGTTTGTCTCTAATGACTACGGATCTTGTCTCCTGCTTTTCGGTCAGATTCACCAAGGGCTTCAGTTGTGCCTTATCTCACATTTAATAGCAGTGAGCTTATCTCTGTTAGCCAAAAATGTACTATATAATTATAGTAAGAAGTACACTTGTTAAACCACATACCACATAGTACAATATGGTGTTATTTTAAAGCTTATGTTAAAAAAAATCCGAGATAAAATATAAGTTCCTGAACTATTTTTTTGCACAAATGACATGGTAATTAGGCAATTCTGATGAATGCGATAAAATATTGCCTCAACATGGATACCTCTGAGAATTGTCCCAAAAATGTCCATTTTGCAGGCATAACTAATATTTCCTACGAAGAACCCCCTTTGAAAAAATGATGACATGTAACCAAATCAATAAAGTATGCACAGTTTTGAAACAAAAAAGTGGGTAAAGTAAGCCGCGCCCTCTAGTGACAAATCTCTTCTGTTACGTCAAAATGACGTACATGGTCAATCAAGGTCATCTGTTTTTACCCAATGCGTCATATAAGCAATTGTCACTAGATGGCGCACTGACACTTGCACTTGTATTCCCTTGGATGGTTGTAATACTGGTCTTGTTCACACGGTTTCCTGTGTATTCGTTCAGAAATCACTTTGGAACTTGCTGGAATTTTCACTTTGAAATTTTAAGCTGATATTACTGAATATAACTCGATACCTACGTGCATTTCGGTACCATATTAAAGGGCAGTGGTCGTCGAGTGTTCGAATAAACAAACAATATGTTTTACATGCGTTGTTTACGTCGTGACGATCACCGACCCTTTAATAATTGCTGTAATGATGGAGTGAATGGTGGAACTGACGTCATTTAGCCAATTGAAGAATTGTATTACAATGTATATTATATTCATTTATTAGTTTATTTGCATAATCTCTCCAATTCGTTCTGGGCATTCCAAAATAGCTATAATATCTATTTACACAATCAGAATATACAACTGTCTATTACATGATAATTTCAAATCATTGAGTGTTTATTTCATTGCTCCCAGCAAAGACACTAGAAGAAGATCTTCTTCTAGTGTCTTTGCTCCCAGTCAGTGAAAAGTCGTCTGAAGGGCGCCCCCTTGCAGTGACATGACGTCATCCGGGACCTTCCGCTTACTCCACTAATAGTTTTTCGCCATTTTGGTCACCTGATAAAGCGTCGTCGGTAAACTCATTGGGATTCATGTCTACGGTTTCTTCGGGTTCTCTAACGTCATAACAAGTATAATGCAGAAAGGAAACGCTAACGGACTTCCTAAACTGTAGGTAAGAACTAGGCAGTGACTTAGCATAACGGATGGCTGATCAGACTCCATAGCGGCACAAACGCATCCAGAGAACACCGGCCAGTGATTTCGTTTGTAATTTGTATCCATCGCCCAACAGAGCCGTTTGGGAAAGTGGGAACAGTCTCTTCATCACAACTGATCCATCACAGGGTCGCCCGCAAATCAAGTGGAAAATCGTCCACTCGTGTCATATTTTGGAGACAAGCTATCGGCAGTCACCTGTAAACTGCGTTGTCTCCATGTGTGGCACGTCCCGGAAGTCGTTTCGTAACAATCATTCCAGTAATCGGAAGTCCCAGGGATCGCCCTTTTTCATCACTTTGCAAAGCGTGAATGTTTTTAGCGGCACTCATACTTATCAGTGAAAATAAAGGCGGCTGCGATCATTTAATTGCACTTTGTTTCGACTCAGTTTGATACCGGCACCGTATTCATCTAAATGCAAATTACAGACGTCAAAGACCACTGGACGTGTGAGAATTCCTGCCAGTTTTCGAATACATTTCTTTGGCTGATAAACCATCTGTCGGCACATAGTTGTCGACTCGTTGAGTAGCCAAGGATAACATCGTATCTATTACCACAACGGAATATTTACTTGTCGGGAAGTCGAATCACACCGGACTCTCGCGTGGCGCTATGTTTTGTTCGCACATCCCTGGTTTGTTTACGCATTGATTTACTTTAGTAATATACCTCAGCGTGGAGTAACGGAACCGGCAATTAATGTGTTTGACATCGCTTTGAAATGAAGCTACTGCAGAGGAAGAACGTTCTTTTAGACAGTTTGACAACGTTTGGTATTCAGACATTTTACTCTACATAGTATAGTCTCAGCTATGTGACATTGACAAGCCGATTGTTTATTTCTGGTCACATACGTAGACATCTGGCAATCATACTGTTTACACAACTCCCAGTTGACTTCCTGGTTATTCATATATCTTCTATGGGCCATTGGGCCAGACTTACTGATTTTGGAATGTTGTATTTTGGTGGGAGAGACTATTTTGCTTGAGAAACACTACATCAGAAAAACGATGGAGAAACCAGATGTACTGCCACTTGCTGCTTACTCAGATAGGAAATTTATCAAATGTTTGCAGAAACGTTCTGATGAAAGAACGGATGAGGTGAGTCAAACACTGTATATCCTAGTCTGACCTGATGATGGAAGCTGTACACAATTTGTCTCTTCCACTGTCAGGGCAGTGCATCTCTGCTCTAATCTGCATCATTTAATAGTAAAGATTTCTGCATCCCTACCCTCCTGAGTGCTCATCTTTATTATTTATTTCCACCATTTTGCATTTTCCTGAAGAGTTCATTTATTGTGTGATCATGTTTTACCCAAAGGCCCTCATTCTTTTTCTAACTTCCCTTTCAAGAATCATCAAGTTGTTTGAAACTCAGTTCGCAGTTCAACAAATTCAGTTCAAATTGCAATGATAGGTAATCCCACCAATCTATGAATAGCATCAAACAGTCTGTACTGTAAAATCTGTATTAGAAACTGTGGCTTCTATTAAAATGGTTCAATACAACAGAGGGGATGCGGCTTCTATTAGAGCATCTATACATATTAGAAATGATGAATTTTTGGTTTTCAATTATTCAAAAAGAATGGGTGCGACTAATACAGATTTTAGGTATTTATTGATGATAGTATTTAAAGTCACATCCCATGTACTCTCCTAAATCATAATGGTTTATTAATATGTACCAACTGCATGGTCTGGGGTATGACTCAAGATTGACCCTAATGGCAGCATTCCAATGGGAGTGCTGTTTTTTAGTTATACAATGTACCATTGGATCAGTCCTATTATACAACTGTGGAGTATTTTACTTTTTGCTGAGGATCATAAATTTAACTTATCTGTCATAAATCAAGTATCAAGTATTGTCACTAAATTTATTTGTTGCTGATTTCCGCCTTCAGTGAAAATGATTTCTATGTGATATTAAATTTCCTATAGTATTCATTCTAGTACTACTTTTTATATACAAATATTTCATGTCACTTAAAATAAATCTATTAGTGTCAAACTCTCCTCCAACGAAAGTGTTTGCTTCAAGATTCATCAAATTTTGATTATCATCATTATAAATCATTGATTTAAAGGAAAACAATTATAAAATAAACCTTAGTATATTATCTGGATTATCAGCCCATTTTCTTTGTTAAAAAAGAATTAAAAAGTTCTCTGCTACAATTTTATTTGTTATTTTTCTCTAAAGTAAAGTGAGTGTAAAAACCTATTTTATTGGTATGCGGTGAGTAAAAACATAGATAATCATGGGGAAACAGCTGTTCATCCAGGCATCGCGAAAATCAACATCCACTGAAAATGAAATTGATCAAATTCAAATATTGTCAGTTTTCAATTTATAGGTATAATTTTACATAACAGAATCATGTAATTGTAACCCACTTTTTGTTTTGAATCTCCAGACAAATATTGAAATGTGTTTTCTTCCCATCCTCAGGCTTCCTTCCTTTGCAACAGTTGTTGCTACGGGGTGTTTTTATTGCATAGGTTTAATTCAGCAAATATTGCATAGTATAATTAAGTAAACTGATTTTTCGTGAGTTGGTGGAAAATTAAAACACGTTCTTGCAGTGTTCAGATTCTAAAACACACAGTGTAAGTGTATTCCTCAAAATTAAAAAAAAGAATTCTATAATCACTAAAATTTCTATCAGTAAAAATTGTTCGTTTACAGTTTACATAATGCAGTAGTTGTCAGTGAGGACGTGTTATACATGTAACTGATATTTGCCAACATGATAAATTTCTGCTATGGGGAAATAATTTAAGATGATTTGTGTAATGTAATATAATTTAACAACCAACCATGATATATACAAAGTATCATCATTTTCTTCCTATATGTAGATACTTTAATTAATCTATCCCTCCCCCTCCCTCTGGTTCCATGCGTAGGTGTATACATACTGCCTAATTCATAATTTATTTTGTAAATCTACACAACACAGAATTATATGCGGCATTTATTACATTTTATCAAAATAAGTAAATAAACAAGTTATTTGGTTAAACTCTCTTAATATATTGTTTAGCTGTCAAGCAAAATATTTTTTGTCCTGTCAGATGTACTATTTATGGTGCTATCCAGGTCGTTATCAGTGAACTGGAAATCAATAAGTTGATTCTCTGTTGTGCCATGCTTACTAAATAATTTATCACACATTTAATACAGTGTACATGTACATGTAGATATTAGAAGCCAGAGTGAGCAGTTAACAAAATCATTAGTGACTGTGAACCTTTTCGTAAGATTTTTGAAGACACAGTGACTATCACAAATTATGATGGGGACAGTGAGACACAGTGACTATCACAAATTCACGTTTCAGCTATTAAACTCATATTGGGATAATTGATTGTGACGAAGATTATTAAACTATTTACCATAATTCTACCCATAGTTTTCATATATGATAAACTAGTTATTATTTGTTGACAAATTAGTTGTCAATTGTTTACAAACTAGTTATCATTTGTCAAGAAACTAGTTATCATTTGTCGACAAACAAGTTATCATTTGTCAACAAACTAGTTATCATTTGTCAACAAACTAGTTATCAGTTGTCAACAAACTAGTTATCATTTGTCAACAAACTAGTTATCATTTGTCAACAAACTAGTTATCATTTGTCAACAAACAAGTTATCATTTGTCGACAAACTAGTTATCATTTGTCGACAAACTAGTTATCAGTTGTCAACAAACTAGTTATCATTTGTCAACAAACTAGCTTATCATTTGTCAAC